TATTTTACTAACACTTCATTTAATTTTTTATTTTTAATTAATGTTTAAATACTTATTTTAATTCTTTATGTATATTTCTTATTTCATATTTACAAATTTATTTTAATTGCTTTGCAAAAAATTAATTTAATTTATATTTTAATTTCCTAATTTAATTGCTTATTTTTATTATTTTACAAATGTTTAAATATTTATTTAAATTCTTTATGTATATTACTTATTGAATATTTAATTATTTCTTTTAATTATTTTACTAACACTTATTTTGATCATTTATTTTAATATTTAATTGCTTATTTTAATTATTTTACTAACGCTTAGTTTAATTTTTAATTTTTAATTAATGTTTAAATACTTATTTTAATTCTTTATGCATATTGCTTATTTTATATTTAAAAATTTATTTTAATTGCTTTGCAAAAAATTAATTTGATTGATATTTTAATTTTCAAATTTAATTGCTTATTTTTATTATTTTACAAATGTTTAAATATTTATTTAAATTCTTTATGTATATTAGTTATTTAATATTTAATTATTTTTTTAATTATTTTACTATTACTTAGATAAATAATAAAACATTTATATTAAGCTATTCAAAGAAATAATTTTAAATAGATAATATACATTAAAATTAAACAATTCAAATAAATAATTAAATATTAGACAACACAATATAAGCAATTAAATGAAATAATTAACTTCAATAATTAAAGAAAATAAATAATACGAAATAAAAAAAAAATCTGTGTCGATAACGAGCGGCCCAGACCACCCAGTTGACTGCCCAGATGGTGTGCCCAGCAGCCCAAGGACGGGAGATCGCCAGAAAACTCTATTTCCGACGATCCCCACTCCATTTCCCTCCCCCAAACAATTATCCTTACCCAAATTCCACAATTAAACCTTCTACACAAGGATTTCTCAACACATGTATATAAAATTATGCTTTTTTCCAAAAATTAACATAAAAAACATGCCTTTTTTTTTTTTGGTATCAAAAGCTTACCTTCTTCAGAGAGAAATGACCAACTGGGTCTCCTGTTTTTCCTTTTTGTCGATGCCTGGGTCGATGGTGCTACAGTAAAATTTCTCTTTCCTTATTGTCTTCTCTCTCTTCTTGAAATGGTAAGGGTGAATTTAGATTTTTCTTGGTTTTCAAGATTTTAAACATTTTTTTTTCATTTTTTTCTAATTGGTCAAAGGCCTCTTTGGAAAAATGGCCGGTGATGGCCACTATTTCCTTCGATTTTTTTATTTTTATTTTTGCACAAGCCTACTTAGGCTCGGGTGCAGGGTAGGTACGAGTAATAGGTGTCCCACCCATCCCTCGTTTATTTTTTTTTATTTAAAATTTAATAATTTAAATGAAAAACTCTATAAAATTTCATTAATTCTAATAGAAAATGGCAACTGAGATTATCTAAAGAATATAATAAACAGTAAAGACCTTAATTTATCAAATATATTTGAATATTTTAACTTTCAAAAATAAATAAATTAATTAAAAATTTTAATATTTGTATTATTTTTTCACTTTAATGAATGGGGACAAAAAAACGAATCATCAAAAATTTTAAAAAAATAATAAAAAAAATATTCAACGTGTATATAAACGGGGCAAAAGCTTTACTCCTTATCTTAAATAGATAATGGGGCAAAAAAATGCTCAACAAGGCTAGGGGCAAGGAAACTCGCCTCATTGTCATCTCTAGCGTAGATTGAGCATCTTGCCCCCTATTTGATAGCTTCACACCTCATTCCGTACGGGAGTCCCCCCATCCCATTTTCCTTTTTTAAATTGTTAAAACATCTTAAAAAGACTAAGGGTGCGGTTGGTTTGCCGTTTTCGGGCCATTTTCCGTTTTCTGTTTTCGAAAACACGAAAAACGCGTTTGGTCCGTCGTTTTCGAAAACGAGTTAAAATTTATAACTGAAAACGTAAAACCACTTTTTATCATTTTGAGCATTTTCAGTTATAAATTGCCAAAATGCTCAAAATGCTTAAAACGGGCCGTTTTTGGGGAAAAATAAAAATCATTTTGAAAATGAAAATGCAAACCAACCGCTACCTAACTATTTTTAAGGAGCATTTGTAAAAATGTCCAATTTTACATATGTCAATTAAAAGATGTCCACTTTTGATAATCTTTGCAAAAATTGTCAAATTTGATATCAAATTCTCTATTTTACCCTTAATGAAAAAATAAATAATTTTATATTGCACATATCAAATCACAATTAATGCTAGACACAGAAATGTCGAGAACAACATTTAAAATATAGAGAAATGTCATGTTTGGAATGAAATGTTATTCTAGATATTTAATATGTTGAAAACAACGTTTGAAATGTCTAGAATATTTAATATTGTGATTTGACATATACACTTTTAAAATATAAATGGATTCAAATAGCGAGAACGGCATTTGAAATGTCGATATTAATGCAGCTTCTCATGAAAGTTATTTAGGGGTACTCTCATTCAAATAATTGCAAAAATGGACATTGAAAAATTTTGGACATTTTTATAAATGACTGTCAAAATGGACATTTTTTTTTATAATTTCCTCCTATTTTTCAACGACTGTTCAGATAGTGGTCCAATAAGTCAAAGACCAAGGCTGTGTTGGCGAATAATCATAAAAAGAGTGATGATACACGTATAGGTACGGGTTTACAGAACCCGTACCGATCACTCACATACATGGGGGGGTGGATGGGTGGGGTTTTTTTTTAATACAAATGGGTCCCATGTGGGATCCATTTTTTGTGACTATTGGTAGGGGTTCTGTCAAAGAGAAACCCTGTACACCCAACATTGCCGTCATAAAAAAGTTCAGTCTACAAATGTTAAGTGCCAGGCCAACATGTTACGAGTGGTACAACTTGATTTAAAACCTTTTATCAAGATCACATGAGGACTAGAGAATATGACACCAAATTGATGACTCATAAAAGAAAAGGATTTTTCTAGTTGTACCATAGTTTACAACGAAGTCACAGGAGGGGGCGACTAACCGATTGTCACCGGTTGCAATATATAACTTGAGCAACAAGATTATTTCACTGAATCAGGGCATTATGAACATCTCTCTCATGTTCGAGAATATACAGTTCAATCGTTCGACATCCACAAAGAGTGGGAAAGATAAAATATAAACATAAACTGCTTGGTACCTCTTTCAACGGAAGAATTAAGTGTGTTTGAGCCACATTATTTTTAAACAATGTATGTTGAAATAGTATATTGGTGGAGAATATATTGTTAAAAAATAAAGAAAAATTTTATATTTACGTGTAACGTTATTTTATTGAAAAATGTGTTATTAAAATAATGTTAAATCACTGTTTAAAAATACATTTTTTTTTCTAAATAATGGAATTAAAACAGGGCCTAAAGCACATAAATAAGCACGTAAAAGCAATATTAGACTGTCCACGAGACGCACAATTTAAAGACATTGGAGAACTGACTATTGTCAGCACAAGTCCCTTTAAGAGAGAGAGAGAGCAGTAATCAATCCATTGGATCAACTATTTGAACACTAACTAATTCAACAAATATAATGCAGAATAAGAAATAACAACCCTCACATAGCAAATGTTTCTTCTTGAAGATATGGCCGATGCAACACTTCAAACCACATCAAAGCAAATCCTATATATTGCACAAGACCCTATAAGTTTAATCATCAAAAAACAGATTTTGACATCATGCCAACACCAACAAATGGATTCCTCATAATCTAAAACTTGACCATCTGTTACAACTTCGGTTCTGATGGTCGAGAGATGCTGCTGCTCCCACCACCTGTTCGGTTTGGTTCTCCCATTCTAGATGCCAATGCCAGAATCTCAGGCGACATTTCCCAACTTCCACTTTTCCTTCCCCAACTGGATCGCCTAGGATGTATTCCAGCACGATCACCCTCATCCACAGTAGTCCTTATCTCTGGGGACATTTCACCGAATCCACCATCTTTGTTGTTTAAGCCATCATTTTCAGACAATCGCCCTCCATGATGATCTAACACTGGACCAACATCTCCCCAAACTGCCTTCCTTCCCATCTCAATCTCGTCTGCAGCTTTCCCCATATTAGGACTAACGAAACCCCCGCTCACAGTTCGGGCTGGTAAAGCAGGTTCTGCAGGGACCTTTGCCCTAAAATTGTTCTTAGATGGAGGAGTAGGAGTGCAAAGTATCTCCTTGAAGTTCTGAATAACTCCTCTGTTATAGGGATTCGCACGCCGATCATATTTATATCTAAAATTCTCATAAGTTGTCTGCAATCAGCATGGAAATTGTTTTCATTATTTAGAAGTTTTCTTAACATAGAGAAAAACAAACAATTAAAAAACTCAGATACCAAGTCACATGAAAAGATCAGCTCTTGCCTGATTTGTGCCGATGAGAAACAGATGGAATGCAGTAAGACCACCAACAAACCAAACTGATATAAAGGTGTAGGCGACTAGAACAATGGAAGCAGGGGTCTTGATCAATGCTTTCCATATGGATGTCTCCTCATAATCCATGATCCTTTTTACGTAAACCCAGCAGAAACCAAAAACATATATACAAAGTAGAGTCGTCGAGAAGACAAACATGAAGAAGAACCGGTAATTCCTCTGCAACCAAAGCCGTCAAAGATTTAGACTGCAATGTCCACTTGCATTTACAAACCACGAGTCATCAGTAGTACCTTGATACTGTCAAAAGCAATTAGCAATATATGGATATCCCGTTCTAAACAGTGTTAATCAAGTCAATAACCTAATGGTGGTTTTAACCCAGAAATTATTTACAAACACAACAAGGATTATGTTTGTATATCTAACATTACAACAATGAAAATCTATTCTAGCCAACACGGATAAAGTGCAAGTCCTCCTAGTCAATTTGATGGGAATTTCATATACTAGGAAATATTTAACCAGAAATTTGGCAAAACAAAGGTACTGGAACTGCATGCTTCAGATAGAAAACCTACTGTGATGCTCTTTTACTTGAGCAAGATTGATTTGGGTTTTTGCAATCTCACTTATGGATAAATGAACATACCAGCATGCCATGCCTTGCCTTTTCCTCCATCCATACCCAAAATCTCATTTTAATGGAGCACAAACAGGGGCTAACTTTTTCTTCTTTTCTAGCAAAAGGTTTTAAAATGGCAGTATTTCACAAAAAGTATCTTACCAAGCCAGTTATTCCCTCAAATAATAGTTATATCTAAGAAACTGCAAACAAGAAACCATCTGTTTGCCAGCAAAAGCCAAATCAAGAAAATTAAGTAGGAAAGAGTTTCCATTAAGAGATCACAGATGTATCATTGAGGTCTAATACATTATATATATACCTACAAGTTTTGGTAAAACGCAAAGGCCAGCTTTATAATCAATCTTAGCAATTATTTATCATGTAAATCAGTAAATGATTTAGACCAATTGAAATCTAATTATGTCGAAATGGTCTGCAGACTTCATTCCACATCAAAGAATAAAGTTCTGCACTCCAAGTACCCAATGCAGGAAGAGAAATTGCTTTACTTGGGTCAACTTGTGTTTCTCATGCTGACAGTCAAATTGATATTAAACTTGGATGAAACCGTGAAAAACACCGTCCTCTGAACATATATTGTCAATGCTTTTAAGATAATGCATATCTCACCAGTCCAATGCACTGACCAACCCAAGGGCAGTGATGGTCAAATCGCTCAACACAGTTATTGCATATTGAACAGTGAGAGCAGCGGGGAGGTCTGTAAAGCATGCAGGTGTCACAATACTTAATCTTCACAGTAATCCCATTAACATCAACTTCCTTAATGCGAGGCAAGCGTAACTGGGGGGTTCCTTCTGGATTCCCTTCATAGCCTTCAGGTTCGGGGGGGTGTGCATTACGAGGAATTATACCCGGATCTCTTCCAGAAGTTAGCACGAGAAGAATTAAATCCTGAAAATTCAAAGAAAGCTTACAATTGACAATTTGGCTTCCAGAAATAATTAAAAAGTCTTGCATCAATAGTCTTTTATGTGCCACGTAATGAATGCACATCCTAGTCACCACTGCCTATTGATAATAATATCAATATTCTTTTATGTGCCATGTAAAATAAGTGCACCTCATAGTTACCACTACCTAATTATACTAATCTAAAGCCTTATTATTTAACAGATGTAAAATGTCGAGAGTATTCTAAAAAATAATCAAGGTCCAGAGTGAGAATGCTAGAGTAAAGGTTTGTAGAAGTAAAAGTTAAACAAAGTCAGTGGAGAGTTTCTTTAGTTGGAATGTCTTTGTCTTTGGTGCTTGCTCCCTAAATACAGTCATTGCTTCTTCTCCAAGACGACCTCAATATAAAGGCTTGACTGATCTCTGAATTAGAATGGTCCATGCCTGAATGATGATTGATGATTCGCAAACACCATAGGACAAAGACACCACCAGCATGAAATTAACTAATACTATTTCAATGCAACAATGCAACAGCTTCCATTTTTCCAATGTAAATCACCCATCAAATTTAATAGCTTAGCACAATTTCCTTGCTTCAAACAAACGAAGGGATATATTAGTAAATGGAAATTAATATACATCAAATAACCCATTGAAGAGATCCATCCAAAACCTCTCACATAATGTTTCTCCAGAAGGCCTGTTATCAATGATAATGCCATTAAAATGGGAAAAGCTAATTAGAAAAAAGTCATCCCCCCATCTATATAATTTTTCAAACAAATGGAAATGTTCATATGTTTTCAATTTCTAGTTTGCCAGCTCATAGAAACTACCTAAACCATGAGTTCAGCATGCATCATTGTTGTTTCTAATGAATGAAATTCTGATTCTAATCTTCCATGCAGATATTCTAAGTTGAATAAGCACACAAATCTGGGGAGAGAGAGAGAGAGAGAGAGAGAGAGAGCATACATAAAATGTGAAAACAATAGCAAAAACCATTATTGATATTCCCCAGTGATGCGAAAAATCATCGACCAGCTTTCTAGCAACAAATACACAAAACAAAGTGACAGGAGCCACAATCAAGAAAATAGTGAGTGCCAATGACCTCACATCTGGCCCAAATATAAATCTTCCCTGAAGAAAAAATTTCTGCACCAAGAAAACAAAGAATCAATTACAGACATAACAAAATAACAAGCATTAATATTTTAAAATTCAAGACATACACAATCTCATAAATGGCTAAATCAAATTGGGCCATTTAGTTCAAATAAAAATATTAGCATACAGATTTCTTTTCTTTCCTAGAGTACAGGCTTTTACATTACCATCACCAAAGAAAATTTCAAGTTTCATAACTTTTCGGTTTTTCTTTGGTGATGCAAAATCCACATCTTAACTTTGCTGTAAACAATAATGTTCATTATATAGTGAATAACTAAAATGGGTAATAAAGGAACTGAACGAAAGTACAAATCCGGTTGGACTCAAGAAAAGAAAAAAAGTCCAGACAAATAAACACAAAACATGATTTCTTAACTGCAGTAGTTTCAAATGTAAATTAGCATCTGATGTAGAACATTTGTCTTTACAAGACCAAAGCAAGTGCATTAAAATGCAGATGTCAGCTTGCAAGCCCAAGCTGCTGGGATATGCGGATGCAAGCTTTTACTCATTAATTAGGAGGAAATGAGAATCAACTTGAATGTCACCTAGAAAACTACTTTCTTGTCAACAATAAATTCGGCAATATCTCATCCGGTTACAAATCAACTTGACCAAAATTAGTACATGAAATGGAATAAGATAAAAATATGAAGCACTCTTCTTATCTTTTTCTTTCTTCCTTTTCCTCTTTCCTTATACTAAGTATTACCTTTAAGCAACTTGAATTAACAATTTGCTTATGCACTAGCGCCACAAATTCCAAATAAAGGCATCTGTAGTAAGAACTATTAAAGGGGAAATGGAGAAATTATTAAACAAAAAATCCTTAATTAGTAACAATATTAAGGAACTAGAAACTGGTGAGAGAAAGGAGAACAAGGATGAACTCACATTGCTTCCTTTCCAGGTCTGGTAAATTCTAAGGGCATCGGACCCGTTTGTGGATCCGGATAACGGATCGGTCCGCTGCGTAGGAGGAACCACATGCATCTCTGTTAAGCTGAACTCTTTAACAGAAACCCTACTATAGGAAGTCGAGTCGATGCAATGAGTAGTCCGTACTCAAGCTAGTTAATTTGAGTATAGTTTTAGCGATAGCTACAGCAGAAATGCCATGAGAGAGAGACTGGCGTGTTTGGGAAGTGAGACAGCGAGAGTTTTTGCTCAGAGGAGAGTCAGGGCCGTTTGAGCCTCATTATTTGTAGATTATAATGAGATGAGTAGTATTTTTTTTTAAAATGAGTCGTTAAAAAGTTTTTAATTTACCTGTAATATTATTTTATTGAAAATTGCATCGTTAAAAGTAAGAGAGACAAAAATTTAATTTAATATAATGAGAAATAATGAGGTTCAAACGAGGCTGAGATTGGATATGAGAGTTCATATTTTACAGGATGGTCAAACTGACGTGGCTATTTTATATTGGATGTGTCGTTCTTTCCTTTTCTTCTATTTTCACAAGAGTTTTTCCCCAAGAAAAAAATATACATAAACCATTCAATTGGCAGCACCTACATGGCTGCTTTATTTTATTTTTTTTGGTCATCTTCTAATGATAATTTGTCAAATGTCCGTATGCATCATTTTTGTGAAAATTATTTGTACGCATAGCATTGTGTCAACGCTTGCTTGCAAATAATCTTTAAATTATTATTAGGTATTAACGTGTAGTCAAAAGTGAGGAAGAATTATCGTGATCCAATTATAGATTGTTAATTGAAGTGATTTGTTGAATTAAATTTTTCGTGTTAAATTTGATTATGAGAGTATGCTCGAGAACAGACTTAAATAAGAATTGATATTTGAATAAGTTATGAGTTAAACTTTGTTACCTTCAGGTAAAATACTAGTTAAATAAAAGATCCATAGATAAGAATGACATTGTGTAACTTGTCATCCACGAATTGAAATACTTGAAATTAAGCATGGAAGTTAGCTTTGTTAATTCTAAAGACATTGATGACCGTTCATATTATTAGACTTGCATCTCAGGCATGTTTTTAGTTTATTTTATTTAAGTTACGAGTAGACGAATTTCAAGTCAACCTGGATCATTACTGAAGCAATCTCGATAGCCCTTCACCCAACATTATAGTCCATTGGACCATCACGCATTACCCAGATGCTCTGACCTATTCAAATGGCCTCTGCCAGGTCTTTAGTACTAGTTACAGTAATATAATGTCAAGTCTTGTCAACCTACATCATAGATACATAGACCCAGACCATAAAGTGTTTATTTTTCAAATTATATTAAATGTTGCAGGTCTTATGATGTACAAGGCGACACCTAAGAAGAGACGTTTCGACCGTTAGGTTGAAGTCACATATTTTTTAATCCAATGACCACCATTTCACCTAATCCACTATCAAAGTCCACAACCCAAGCCAACCTAAGGTAATGCAATTTTAACTCTCAAACTATAAGATTGCTCTCATCCATATATTCATACACATTTTCGGTGCTTATACACTCGTGGCTTGCGTTTTACACATGTCCTACACTCGTTATATTTCTTTCTATCTACTAACTTGACTATCGAAGTACCCAGAGTCGCCTTCCCCAGCACCAAAAAAGGTCACGAGTGACTAACGATTTGTCCAAGTGTATAGGAAATGATCTTATGTGGACTCTATTATGCTCGAATTTATTGGCCATGTAGTAGGTACAGTAATCGAGATCAACAATTACTACATATATAAAAGAGCCAAAAAATGGCTGGAGACATGTCGTTAAATGCTATCGTCAACTTTTTCTTTTTTTTTCACGTATCATCTCCTCTTCAAGCAACAATCACCTCGTCCATTTTCACACGCAATTAACTTCATCCATACAGCTCAACCATAGCAAGACCCATCAACCTCTTCAATCATTATGTCCTCTGAGAAAAACGACCACCACTACCAATTACCTCTACACCGGCCGTTAGCCATTTGAGCACACCCTTCTTCCCATCTCCAATATCATTTTCCCCAATGCCACACAGACCCTTTCCCACCTCAAATCCACCTTCCTTGCCGTCGATTCTTCCAATCGGGTCAACTAGGAAACCCTCGCCGGAGGCCTCCAGATCTTTCTTAACCATTCTCGGGCTATCCTCAAAAGTCTGTCTAAATCTTCTGTTCTACATGATGATTTTGATCCTTTGGTCAATGCAAAGACTGCTAGGAGATGAATTTGATTGGGTTAACATGTTTGATTTGCTGGTTTATTTGTATGTACAGAGTTATAAGCGATTCGTAATTGAAAAATTCTAGATGTACAGAGGACTTCTTACAGAAGCTGTACAGAAGTTTAAAAAATTGCTGACGTGACAGGAGGAAAAGAGGGAAAACTTTGGTTTTTCTCTCATAACCCGCCAAATTCTCTAGTTTCATCCCAAAATGGAAGCCCGAAAGCTGAAGTGGAGAAATTAACTGCTGAACAACCTCTCGATTCACCATCAAAATAAGAACTAAAAAGCTCCAGTTCTTCTCCGGCCTAAAGAGCATCGGAGCTGGAGCTCCACTTCTTCTCCGACCTGAAGAGCCTGAAGAGCACCGGAGCTGGAGCATTTTTCGTGTTTGAGCGATCGTCATTCTTTCCACTGGTGCGAGGGAGTTCACTGTCTTCTCCAGTGTAGCGACGATTTCCTACCCCAGAGACAGTAATCGCCCAAATGTAATTTCTATTTATCTTCATGCTGTGATTTTTGAACACACACCACAGAACGTTTCTTTGTACATTTGGGGAAAAAATTAATCTTGTCATTTTGAACACACACCACAGGAATGAGCACACTGTAATATGCTGTCAAAAATTTTTATGAATGTTGCTGGAATATGTACCCTCATATGCAAAGGAATGAACACACACACGTACATGAAGCCATATATTAGCAAAAACTTCATATGCAACTGAATGCCACAAAATATATACCTCCATATGCTAATCTGAAGGAAATTTTCAAAAGTTGAAAAAAAATTAGGGTATTAAGCACTGTAATTGATCGCTTTGATGTTGCTATGGTTTGAGACATTTGTTTGCTTGACAAATTTTGGTGTATGAAATCACATCCATGTTGGCTTAACAATGTATTTATTATCTTGTACATCCAATTTGGTTGCAACACGTGAAAGTATGGAAGATGTGAATGAAGACCCTTTATTGTTGTCTGATGATGAGATAGTTGGGGATAATACCAATTGTATGGAATGAGAACCGTTAGGAGAAGATAAAGAGGTTGCTCCGGAGGTCGGTATGATTTTTGATGGGGAAAAAGAGTTATTTGATTTCTATAAGAGATATGCTTATGCCATCGACTTTCCCGTGAGGAAAAGAAATTCGAAAAAGGGTGACGACAGAGTTGTTAGATATATCACGTTCACATGTAGTCATGAAGGCCGAAGAGGCAGTAACACAAGCATTACTTTGAAGCCGCAACCAACAAATCAAACAGATTGTAAAGCGAGGATAACCGCATCTGTAGATAATGTTGGGAAATGGAAAATTAACACCATCCATCTCGAGCATAATCAAGTTGAGGTTGTTTCGATGTAATAGAGAATTGACTGCAAACGCGAAGAGAAAGCTTGAATTGATTGATATGACAGGAATTTCATTGCACAAAAGTTACAACTCCGCAGTTGTGCAAGCAGGTGAATACGAGAATATAACTTATGTTGAAAAGAATTGTCGCAATTATATTGAACAAGTGAGGCGGTTACGACTTAGAGAAGGAGACGCCGCAGCTTTACAATCCTACTTTTCAAAGATGCAAGGAAGATGTTCGGGATTTTATTTTAGTATGGATTTGGATGACGAGTCACGGCTTCGAAATATATTTTGGGCAGATAACAGATCTAGGCAAGCATACAAAGAGTTTGGTGATGTTGTTACCTTTGAGACGACGTATCTTACAAATAAGTACGACATGCCTTTCACTCCTTTTATCGAAGTTAATCACCATGGACAATCAATATTGCTTGGTTGTGGTTTGTTGTTGAATGAGGACACGGATATGTTTGTGTGGCTGTTCAAGCCATGGCTCGAGTGCATGCATGGCCATCCTCCCCACGAAATAATTACGGATCAAGATAAAGCCATGCAAAATGCGATTGAGATTGTTTTTCCAAATACAAAACATAGATGGTGTTTATGACATATTATGAAAAAGTTGCCAGAAAAGTTTGGTTATCAAGTTGACAAAGGTTCAATTTTCTCATCTATACACGAATTGGTATATGATTCCCAGAGTATTGATGAATTCGAAGAAGGTTGGAGAATGATGGTTGAAAAGTTCGAATTGTATGACAATAATTGGTTGTCGGGCTTGTATGATAATAGAAGACATTGGGTACCGTGCTGTCTGAAGACAACGTTCGGGGCAGGGATGTTTACAACACAACGAAGCGAGAGTATGAATGCATTTTTTGATGGATATGTACATTCGAAAACCTCATTGAAGCAGTTTGTGGAACAGTACGAAAGAGCACTTTGGAGCAAGGTCGAGAAAGAATTCCAGGCTGATTTTAGATCATACTCTCAAATGGTGCCTTGTGCAACTGCCTTTGAAATGGAAAAGCAATTTCAATCGGTTTATACAATATCCAAGTTCAAGGAAGTGCAAGATGAGTTCATAGGGAAGGTGTATTGTGATATCGTTGCAGCTTCAGATGGATTTTTTGGGACAAAGTACAAGATTCGGGAGTATGTCGTGTATCTCGAGGGCAGGAGAAAGAAAACATATTTTGTGTCGTTTTGAATGGACACACATGAAGTTCTTTGCAGCTGCCATTTGTTTGAGTTTCGAGGAATTATTTGTAGGCATGCTATCACCGTATTAGATCGTAATAATGTCACGACAATGCCGAATAGGTATAGAGTCAGGAGATGGAGGAGAGACGTCAGCAGACCACACACAAGAGTTGTGGTGAACTACGACGGGTTGGCTAGTACTCCAGGACAAATCCGATACGATGATCTATGTCAGACATTTTCAAAGTTGGCAAACCTTGCTACAAACGATGAAGGGCGGGGTCGTGCGGTAAAGGATTGGATAAAATCTCAAGTTGCCGAACTGAGGTCTTTAAATTCGAGTAATGACAGTAATGTTCTATCCCAGCCAAGTATGCATTTACTAGGCCAATGTAATAAGTCACAAAGTCCTAGCGATATGTATGTATTAGATCCTAAGACATC